ATGTTGGAAAATCATTTAAACATCCTCGCATGATGCTCAAAACCTACAAAAGAAGAAAAGTTATGAAAAGAATCCAAAGAAATCAGCATCACACCAAAAAAGGAAAGCATGTGTGTTACACCACCTTCCCATGGATTGTTTTCATTTCTTTATTGGCTGCTGATCTGCTTATATGATAAACGCTCCCAAAATCAAACCACAGTGTTAACAATCTAGGAAGGGCTTGGAAAAGATTCCTATGGCCCCTGTGAAGAGCCTTTGCATAAAATAAGAGCACATCAGGAAGATATGATAACCAACTTTTCTCAGTGTTCAGATTTGTGGCAGCTACCAGAGCTGACTTTGCTGGGACTGCTTTGGAACACGGCTCCTTATCCTCCTGCCGTTTTCGGGCATCAACAAGTAGTTCATCACAGTATTTTGCCAGGTAAAAGTACCCTTTTTCCCACTTGGGCTGTAATTCCTTCACCCTAGAGTACAGACTGATCACATCTTCCTTCTGCTTTTGACCAGTGTAATGTATCCACCTTGAATAGAGTAGGAGAGTTTTGGCTACACCTCTATTCTCGTTAGAAGACTGGGTACCACAACGAAGAGGCTGTGGGTTCAATGGAACCAATGAGAGGCTAGTGATTGATGATATTGCTGCAGAGCCTACAACCTCAACAGGCATATTCAGAAGGGTCTGTTGGAGCTCAGCAATGGCACCATCAGCTCTTCTGGTGCTCCACAGAAGCTTAGCCTTTTCCATGTGAACATTAGGTGCACCTGAGGCCTTGGCTTCTAGAATTGCTCGACTTGCTGTCTCGTAATGACCAGCAGAACGACAGAGCTTTGCATATTGAATCCAGCACTCCCCAACTTGAGCATGAAGACCACTTGCACCAAAAACTAATCTCCGAAAAACCAAGAGTGGTTCCCTAGCCCAGAGGGATGGTTGTGTGAGTTTGAGACGATTTTCCCAGCTTTCTATTAGTTTTGAGAAATTTGGGTCATATAGAGGGAATGATTTTTCTAAGAAAGACTCACCACCAAGAAGAGAACTATAATCCTCTAATTCCCGCAGCATGTGAAGCTTGACAACAAAGGGGTAAGCTCTCGCATAAGAATCCATGCCTGCAGCAGCTAAAGGAGCAATCAGAGCTTGTTTCGACAAAGTAATTTTCTTAGCAATGGAGAACTGATCTCTCTTCATTATTGCTTGAAGAATCTTAGCGACATCCATGTCAAATAAAGCATTACTCTCAGAACTACTACATACTAAACCTTCTTCATCAGCCCCACTAAGATATTCATCCATCAAGTCCCACCTTCCAAGCCTCCATGCAGCCTGAACACCTTGCATACACCAAGTTTTCTTGTATTTAGGTATTCTAGATATTAATCCATCTACATGGGTGACCGTGGCCTGCAAATGGCACATATTTAGTAAGCAGTTAACAACATCTGAATGCCTCTGGACAGAAGTTGGTTCCATCTGCAAAGCCTGCTCACAAGAAGTCAATACTTCTGCCCAGTTTCCTGCCTTCTTATTTATCAATAGATGATCTTGCAAGCTCTTTGACTTGCGTAAGGAAGCAAAACCACATAAGCCATCTGGCTCATCCAACCCACTGTATATTTCCATCAGGAATGAGATATCTTCATCCTCAAAAAGGCCACTCTTCTCGGAGGCAGGATTAAACGATCCCGACTTTTCCCGCACATGAGATTCAAAGTACAAAAGGGACCTGGCATAAGCTTGGCATCTGAAAGATGACCTTGCAAGAGTCACTTTAGGAATTGCAGCCAAGAGTTCTGAGACATGTTTACACTGAATAAGCACCTGGTTAGAATCACTTGACAGATTGATGGCCTTCTCCTTCGACTTGAGAGCTTGTTGCCTCGAACTGGAAGTTTGAATAGACTGGGAAAGTGAAAGTTCCTGTTGTACGTCATCCACCCATTGACCAAGATTATCAAGAAGAGTAAATACAGCTTGAATGCACACTTCGTTGTGCCCTGAACTTATACCATTAACATCAGTGCTATTCTCTGATGCAGCAGCATTGAGAACAGATAAAATTTCCTCTGTTATGCCACAGCGTGCCTCTTCAGTACCATCACATACTGCATTAAGGACCAAATATGGAAGAAGATACATTGCTATTTGCATATCATGGCGGACTATACCACGACAGGCATTGAAAATACTTGCTCGAGAACCTGTTGCATGTGCAGTCAGTTTCTTGATCCAGAAAAATATCCATCTTCTAAATGACATTGAAGGGCGATAGATTGGACCAGAAGATGCTGAATCAGACATACTTGGCAGCTGAAATCTGGAGGTTAAGCAAGGGGCTATTATCTCCTTCACATAACTAGAGAAACGATTCCACAATCTCTGACCCCTTTCCTGCATTTCAGTGCAATTACCATCCACCACAGATGCAAGCAACTTAACGGGTCGTTTGCCTCTTGTCTGTGAAGTAGAAGCGACCACATTGTCATCAAGAGATGCCTCACAGCCTGCTATCTTTAGAAGTTCCTGAATCGCCAACGCTGCAGAATCTTGAATAATGGTATCNGCTGCAGAATCTTGAATAATGGTGTCAGGAGCAGCCCTGAAGGCCCGGGCCAGATGCTTATGAATCAACTCAAAAATTAAATCATCATCTGAACACGCAATTTGGAAACGCATGCTTGAAAATCCCTTGACTTTTGAAGGATCTATTGCACCAAGTGCTCCAAGACAATCTGCACATATCAACTTTAGCCGCTGACCAACCATCGTCCTTGATTGTTCTGCACATCCTCTAAGCAGAGATGTGATCAATGCACTCATTACATCCATGTTTGCATCTCCTACCTTAGTAATTAAA